TAGGAAGAAAAAGAAATCTGGCAGAATATTTAATTTTCATTCCATCCGCATTAATCTTCACATCCAAAATTTTCCTATTTTATCAATCACTATGGAATCTACTCAGGATGCAGTTTAATAAAAACACCTGCAAGCTATGTTGAATAATGCCAGCGCTTTCATTCATATTCACAATTTCAGGTTTTGATCCTGTCAAAAAATCAGTGTCAGAAGCCATTTTAAAAATAGCAATATTAACTAATTAGGCAGATCTTTATGCCAGAAAACTAGCTGGATATTTTGTTGACTACAGTCATTAAAAATCATCATTGGACAGAGTCTATACTTCTTAAAAACTAGTGCATCTATCTTCTTAATCACCTTGATTTCTAAATACGAAATAAATTATGCTCTCAAACACAAAATGAAAACAATATCCAAGCTCTTTTCAGACTGTTTTTCTTCTATAATGAGAAACCTAATACAATTTGTTTAGTTTTGTCTTACTAGTATAATGACAAAAATGAGTTTTATAAAAAAATTGGATGACGATTATCTGATCTTTTATCAGTAATAGCCCCTACTGAGCCCCCAGAACTCCCTGGAAAATGCCCTGAATCAAAAGGACACAAATCTTGGATACCTTTCCATGGTCACTGCTATTACTTTGAAGCCTCCCGGAAAAGAAGCTGGTCTCAAGCTTATCAGGAATGTGCCCGACTGGGTGAGTGTCATGTTTTAGAAAGACTGAAGACATAATTAAAGGCATAAAATAGTGGGTGATACTGCTAAGAAAATCTTATGCAAAAACTTCATACTCAATGCTTTTTAGCCTGTTTTTTTTTTCTGAGAAAATGGCATTTATGCTGTTTCACTACAAAACTAAATATTTTTGGAGATAGAGGTGTCTTTGATATTTCAATTACCAGCTGAGCTATTAGTATCTCAAAAATATTAAGTTCCTCCTAGTTTTATGAAAAGCAGTAATTGTGTAGACCGGAGGGTGAAGACTGCAGTGTTAGCTTCCTCCTTCTCGAACAAGAGAGAATCCACACAGAATGTAAACTACAAGACACAATTCCCTGGCAAAGCCGTCTTTGTTAGTTCCAGGGCTCTGTTTATTAATTGGATTTCACTGGCTAGACAACAAATGAGATGGATGAGCTCCATTATTTAGCTTTCATGAACTGCCAAAACACATCTAGCCATCCAGTCCCTCTGCTGTGTTGTCTACTGTTTGAGGAGAAGAGCTGTACGTGGATTAAGGGAGAAGAAAAGACACTGTACTCCACATCTCTGATTTCTGTTGAATGCTAACCAAGAATTCTTGAGATACAGCGTAATTTCAGTGTCTTCTAACTATTTTTAAATGAGGAAGAATAAGCAACATACTATACATCAACACCATATTACTGACTAATTACTCTCGTATGGTTAAGAGGTAATACAGGGATTTCTAGTAATACTTCCTCTTACGTATTAAGACGCTGGCCTATGGTTGAGTAAATGGAAAAAGTAGCTTTGCAAAGGCATTTTACTTTACAATTGTGTGACAATAAAATTCACAAAATAGTTCTATAAAAAGATAAATCACACAATTACTAGAAAAAGCATTACACTAAAAAGCAGAATGAAAGATCATACTTTGACATCGGTCCGTATACCAAATTCCAAAGCTTTTGCCTGCACTCTAGCTAGGCCAGGCCAGGAAGTTATTTCTTGATGAACCCAGCACAGCCTCTGGACACATTCACGATTCTAATAGCACTCCATGTCTGATGTATGACAGAGCTGTAATGGCAGGATCATGGTGCTGACTACATCACATGCATTACTGTCAGCATATCAGCATCACATTTAGTGCTGTGGTTGGCCCTGTCCAAAAGTATTGCAGGAGACCAGTTTTTCTTCTCTAAAATATCAAAGGCTAACCGAAAATCCATGCCTTCGTGCTAACTTGCATCCACACACGTCACAGCCGTGCTCAAAATGGCTGGATAGGATACAATAAACTTAATGAGACTAGTGAATATTCTGTGCAAGAATATGTAATTTCTGTGTTTATTGACTTAAACTGTCCATAAAGCGTAAAAGAATGAGACATTGCAATGTGTTCATTAATACTTTTCAGCTGCTAACTTGGTATCAATAGGAGACTATGCTGAAACAAACTTTCTGTCAGACAGCATTAAGGTACTCCATGGAAAATCACCAAACTTTTGGATAGGACTGAAGAAAAACGATAGAGGTAATATCTTAAATATTTAATCATATATTACTAGATGATACAAAATGATGATGTAAGATATGTTAAAAAGAAAGCATCTTTATATACTTGAAAGTATATGTACCTATCAAATATATAAAGTATATTTCAAGGCATGCTTACATATGCTTAGAACTGTAACTGAAATGTTTAATTATCTATTCATGCTGTAACTTTTTTGTTTTTCCATCACATGTTCTATCAGCCTAAAACATTGTGTTTTATCCATATATGCTTATTTTAAACATCAGAGGAGTGGGTATGGACAGACAAGACTGCAGTGGATTTTGTCAACTGGAACATGGCAGAGCCTTCAAACAACAGGAATAAGCAGTGTGCAGAAATATGTGCGTTGTCTGGGTACTGGAACAGCAATGTCTGTTCTTTCAAAAAAGGATATATCTGTAAAAAACCAAAAAGTAAGTAATATTTGTAATATATTGAGGTTATGGCTAATAATGCCTCATGATGTATCTAAATTATATATTCTAAAGCATGTGTGCACATACTGTAAAGAATGATTATAGGTGTCTATTGTTTTTGCACATATATCTGTACCAAGATTCAGTGACCTAAATCCTGAGGCTTCAGGTGCAGCTGGGTATACCACGTGGCTTCCAACTACCTCCTCAGAAGGCTGCATGCCCCATAAGACCTGTATAATAACCATGAGCCCCATGCAGCTGTCTTGGATACTTCAATCACCTATGTGTAGGAAACTGAATGGCTAAAGACCACTCATTTTTCATAAGAAGTGGGTTTTCAGTAAAGCCAGAATTGTCCCGCAACTATCACAAAACTTAAGCTTAAAAGCAACAAGTTTTGTCTCATTTCAGTTGACTGTATTACCCCCCCCAAAATTTTGTTCTTATGAGCACGGTGAAAACTCTGTCTGCAGGAGTTGGTGATTCATTACTATCCTCTGTGCTGACGGAACAGAGAAATATGATTGCATACATTTTTGTGGCACTCTTTATCTACAGTGTGATAGAATCATGTTTAACAGCACTTTCTAGTATTTTCTTGATAGCAAAATGGTCATCTGAAAGAAAATTCAAAGATTCAATTACCAAATGAGATTAAACTAAAGCAGTCGAGAACTTGAACTGAACATTTTGCTGGCTTAATTCCTCCGCATTTCTGTTAACCTTTCCCTTACTTAAAAAGTTTAGGAACCCCAGTTACCAGAGCATTGTGTTCATTCCACAAACACAATCACAAGGAAGGGTTGCCTTCAAAAGAAGGCTAAATTCACAGAAGATTCTTTTCAGCTTGGTATTTCTGTGAATAGAGACGCTTATGAGATATTTCCAGTACACATGAGAACTTAATTCAAGACATGTTTCCCATTTCAGAAAACACCTAAAAGTGAATTAGATTCAACAGGCAGTTTCTCAAAACTAACACATTTGTAAAGGCTTTTAGAAGATACAGAAATCTAACCGTAATCTAAATTCTTGTTGGGTAACATAACTGAGGAGGTCAAGTTAGAAGCTTACACATTCTTAGCTCCACCTCCCAGGGAATGCAATTATCACAAACAGGTGAGCATGTGGACTTAGGAACTTTGAAATTTCTCTTAAGAGCATTCAAAATAAACACTTTATTTTCTTTCTCAAAGCTACTGAAAACACAGTGATGCTACCAGGAAATAAAGGTAAGCATACTTCCTTTAAGTAGAATTAAGGAGGTGCTCAAATATAACAAGCACATACTTAAATAGTTTCTAAATATTAATTCTAAAAGCATTTCAAAATAAAAAGTCCATAAACTTCATTTGTATCTAGGTACAGAAAAGAGCTATAATTTTGTATTTTTTTAAATTAATACAATTATATTTTTTGTTAGTAAAATAACTGGTTGGACTGAGAATCTACATGCATATTGCATTTATATGAATTCTAGTCAAAGTAATCCCACTTATTACTAGATTCTGAAATCTCTTACAATCAAAAGTATTGATTCCATTTCATCTACTTACAGGAGAGAAAAAGGAGAAAGTATTTTCCAACATCATCATTTGGCTGTTTGTTGTTCTAGTCCTTTCTGTTGCTGGAGCTGGAAGTACAGTTTATTTCTACCTGAAGTTCAAGAAAAAACAAAACCAACTAGATATTTCAACGAGAATGAAGGGACCAGCAGCAGCCGTGGATAGCCAAGAACAAGATGCATTTACTGACATGTAGTTTGACAAAATACCTGTATGTTCCACGTAGCAGAAAACAATCTATGTAACTGGAATCAGTGAAATCTTAGGCAGGCTTTGCTTTTTCCTGTACAAATAACAGTCTTCTCGCTGCACAGATATAAAGTTCACAGATTTATATAAACACATACAAATATATACTCCCATCAAAAATTGCCTCCCAAAGAGCTTCGGAGTAAAACTCTTAGAAATTTTTACTATGTACAATTGTTGTATTTAACTTAATGTAGGGATTCTTCCATTTACATACAGAGGAAATCATGTTACTCCTTAACGTTAATTTTTCCTATTGTATTGCTTCAGAGTTATCTAGACTGTGTCGGGAAACACAGATGATTTCAGATTTTCAGATTCAGTGTGTGATATCATCTTTTCATTCACGTAAAACCTACTCTAATACCTGGATCTGTGAATTAAATATATTTTCCTTACTGAAACATAGATGGGTAGATAGAAAAATAATTCAAAAGACTTTCCTCTATTCCTACTTCAAGTCTGAACTTGGGAATAATTATGCCAATTTCTACAGCCTTGTACTTTTTTATTATTCTGCAAATATTAACATTTTTCTACTAGGTTCAAATTAATAACAAATATATGAGAGTAGATAATCTATTCATTGGGTATTAACTTCAGTAATGATGTTTTCAGTATGCAGCGATGCTACTTTTTTCATCTCAGCATATATAATAAATGGCTGTCTATATACTGCATTATTTAACTCTCCAGTTCAGAGAAATGTAATCACTAACTCATTTTTTACATTAACTTTTTCCGTTTCTGTTTTAATTTCACTTGACAATGTACTTCATTAGATCCCCTTTCAGATTTTCTTCAAGTGTACACAATAGCATTGTTTGCCTTAGCGGACGGTTTATCATTCTGTGCATTTTAAGAATTGTACAGTCTCTTGAGATACAGAAACCTTTCTCCAAGGTATAGGAAGGTGCCTGGTACTAACAGGCCTCAACAGAGAAGCATACAGAGGGGCTGGATAACACAGGCTTCTACAAAATATCTGCAAGGGGAAACAGATTCCCTCATAGGCTGTTTTGTAGAACTGCAGTCAGAATTTCTTACGCTGTCCCCATGTGTAAGGTCTCTGATTGACAAAAAGATGCCAGAACACTAAAGCTCTCCTCTAAAGAAAAGAGAGTATCTGGAATAGGTTCTACGTCTGGAATAGATTTTCTGTGCCTAAGTCTCATCAGTTTGAGACATTCATACAATACACTCATCTCACCTCTAGGATTTGTCTTTGTTTAGATACGCAGTAAACAACGAAGGGCCTTAAGTAAAAATATTATGGATGGCAGCTTAGAATGGAAGTCACTCTTCAATAGTTTTATCAAGAGTTGCCTTAAAACATGGTGCACTACTGCGAACATAACTTTCCTGTTGAGCTGTCATTTTTTTCCCTTGCATTGCTTTGCTTGATGGACACACTTTATACACTTCGGGCTGAGTTTGTAAGGCAGGCAGGCTCCAATTATAGATTGCAGGACCTCTAAAGACACTGCAGATTGCACAGCTTTCTCCTTTCTGGTATGTGTGTATGACATTACTTAACCATGAGACCTGGTTAAAAAAAATAAACAAAATAGCGTTATTTAAAATAGAGAGAGAACTGAAGTAAAATAAACTCAGTTTTACAGTATGTCCTTTGAACACTTTGTAAAACCCAGAGGCAAAAAATTCAGATAAAAATAAATTTCTTGTATTACTATCATGAATCCATAATCCCAACTCCTGTGATAAACAGTCACAGCTATTTTCAGGAGGAAATAGGAAATGGCTCAGAGAACTTTGGACACAACTGGAATGAGAAAAACACCACCTGCTTCCCATGGAGATGACTGCAGATATAACTGTTTCCTGGTATGTGCAAGAGAAATCTGGGAATACATAGTTATGCTTGCTCTTTGGAAGAGTAAAGAGTATAAGTGTTTTTCCTGTGTTATACTTCCCAACAATACAGGATACTGGATCTTTCAGTATGTATGCCCATTTCAGTGAATCTGATAAAATAACCTTTTCCCAAAGAAAAATGTGTTTTCAGTAAAGACTTAACAGAAGGGAATAATTGTTTTAACAGTTACTTGTAAGTGTCGCGGCCTACAACTGTAAAAATGGGAAGCTCATAACAGAGGTGCCCTGGTGACCAAAACCAGAACAGCCTAAGAAGCCTAGAGGAGAGAGCCCCATATTACCACCGCAGTTACCAAGGTCAGCTGAACAGTCAGGCTTCTTTGCATGCCAGGCTGTAGGATCTGTGCTATTATATGGAAATTGTTTGATGTAGATGCATTTGTATGTACAGATATTTTGCAGTTAGAGTCAATTCAACATAATGTCTGAAAAAGAAATGGACAGAATCATAGGCTAGGCAGGAGGTCTGTCGCTGATCCCCCTGCACGAGACTGAAACGCCGCCAGGCTGATCCAAAGGCCTCGATTGTTACAGAAACAGCCAAAGACAAAGAGCACTGTGGTAAGAACAGCACGGAGATAATGGGTGAATGCAGAGCAAGTGTGCACCAAGTGCAGTGGAGCTACCACCTGTGTACAGGACTGAAAGGAAGGCCTCACCTGGACCATACGTGCCTGCGTTAGCTGGGCTCAGTCATCGTCACCCACCTGTGGTGAGGGACAGCACTGCCACAGCAAGGACGGTGGATGCAGCCTAGTGAGTCTCAAACAGCTCAACATCCACTGGGGGAGAGAGACTAATGTGTCCAAACGGTCTGACACCTCTGTATTTGTCCTTTGAAGTGGATATTGTGTATGACTAAGGAACGATATTGGCCACTCACCTTGTTAATCACTCAGACAGAAAAGAGGACCGGGTTGTACTCAAACTGAGTGCACAGAGCAGCAGAGAACCATACCACTTTCAATGCTTTATCTCGGTGTTTCTGTCCAAGTCAGTTTTTGGCCTCTCCCTTTTATTTTCAAAAAGTCCTGTCTACTTAAAAGCACTGTCACTTCAGTGCTTGGGATAAGAAAAATACTGTTCATCATGAATGAGCATTAATCACTTTAAATTAGTTTCAGAGTGGAGAATAGAAGACACAGCAGTTTAATGTTTCTTGGAAATTTCCCAGTACTGCTGTTAAATATAAGCGATCACAGTTATGTGTGTGTTTATGTATGATCACTCATTTTCATAAACAAATCACACTTGATTTACCTCACTAGTTTCCGAAGGATACACCACCTCCTCTGTAACGAGGTTGGGGTCATTTTGTGACAGAAAAATGTAATTCAGCAGTGGGAATACAGAATTCTTAGTTTTCTTGCGCCAAAGGAGAAATTTTACTTTGCAACTGTAGCAGTAGAGGAGTTGAAATGATATGGTGTCTGAAAATCCACAGCAAAAAAGAAGAATGTATGAATTACAACTAATGTGTTGTCTCAATATTACAAAGGCAGCATTTTGAGAACTAATCTTTTCAGTTTTTTGTGCTAATTTCTTTTTGCATCTGTCAGAACCTTTTTTTATCTGATACCACTGTTACAGAAGAGACTAAATTGCTGACAGAATGGAAGATTTTAGACACTACGACTGGCCGTGCTGGCACTGATTATCTGTGAAACACCACCTAGGAAACAGTCCAGTCAAACAGTGAACACTGATGAGGAAAGGCACGATATGCTCCTAGAAATACAGAAGAAGGAATGGATGTACCCTGCAACAGCAACATGTAGTCTCAGTACATCTGTGCCTTTTAGGGCACTAGGGCATTACACTAAGTTTTGAAGTTGCGATCAAACGAAAGATCATACAATTGTCGTAGTGCCACCAGTAAAAACTAATCACAGCTGACAAAAATGATCTCATTTAATGCATTAATGCTTGTGGAATAAATAAGAATTAGAGTAATAACACATTTTTTGTCACTGTACAACAGTTAAAACATTTAGAATTTTTGAGGACTGGTATCCCTCGACAAACAATCATTATTACAAATTTTAAATACAGGCTTTTTAATAGCCCCCTTTGTTCTCTACTCTTCTACTTCAAATAAATTTTTATAGGGAAGAAAAAACTTAGCTTGTCAGACTTTTTATATGGCATTAAAGATGATCATAGATGTCCTTTATGGGAAAAAGGGATATTATCCTAGATGGGCTGCAGCTGCTGCTATTCAACTACATTCCCGATTGCTTTAAGACAAGACATAAACATGCCCACAAAGTAAAAGCAAAGACGACCAGCTACAGAAAGAGGTACCACGTATAATCTCTAACAGATACTCCAGGAGCGGACAAATCTGTCATACCATCCAGCAGTTTAAACCTTTGCTTTTACTTACCTAACAGCTATATCACAAAGAGATGCTGTCTTCATTTACTGAAGTAGATTCTTGCTAAACAAATGGTTCGTTTCAAAGCTAGGAAAGGGAAGAAAAGCAACAGGGAAAGAAAAAGAAACCTAAGTAAGGAGATGACAATAAGGGCAATAATTTCACTTTTCTGCTTGCACTAACTAAGTTCAATGAAGACTGATATCATTTTGGGCTCTCTCTCAATCTTGTTCAGGTCAGAATGCCCTGCAAGAGAAAGACACAGGAGTGTCACAGTGAATCGTGAGACTTTGCAGATGGTAAATAGAATACCTAGGATGATAAAACTTATTTCTCTCTCTCTCCCCGCACCCTTCTGGTATCTGTAAAAACAACATATCCTAAAAGGAGTGATGAAACAATTCATTTTCTTGTTATTTTGTCCATCAATTACATATGCACTAATTTTGATCAAGAAATTTCCATTTTGCTACCTGTGTGTTCATAATAGCCTTTAGATGGTATCAGAGGGCCTCCTTCTACTTTTGCTGACCTTAATAAACTGCTATATGTAACAGGCTGGATGAAAACTGTACAATGCAGTGTACACGTGAACATCAACTTTGTAACAAACACAAATTCATTCAATTATAAAAACGTTTTTCAGGTTTTTAAGCATCTTAAGCATTTTACACGTGTAGGAAAACAGAAGTTAAAAGGTACCTTGTTATATTTTAAGGAGCTTTTTTAAAATTCCGTTTACCTAACTACAGCATATACACATTTTACAAAAATGATGGGTAGAACTTCCAGAGGTCATCAGAACCAGAAACGCACTTCCGAGCTTGTTTTTTTTTTTTTTTAACACATACTAGCTGTTATCTTCTCTTTGGCTGAGCACCCACATGGCTTAATTTGGGGAAAACAATCCTTCTTTTCCTTCTTTAGCTGTTACTAACATATTTTAAAGCTACACACTTAACCAAAGCATGGAAACTGAACCCAGGTGGTTTAAGTTGGTGATTAAGATAATCTTGTATTCTTCATAATACCTTTACAAAGAACACTAGTGTGTGTTAATGAGAATAAGAAGTCAAGCAAATGTTTTATAGAAATGCTTTTAGAATTTTACAGAAATGCTTTTTAGAATGCCAGTTTTGACAGCTACGTAAGGAAAAATTCTGGACACGTTTTCATGTAACAATCTTTTCCCTTTTTTCTTCATAGCTATTTGG